ACTATCTACGTTATACAACATACGTATTATATACTGCTGATATTTTGTTACATGGAAATTACGTTTCATTATTTTATAATTTATAATTTTTAAACTATTAAACAAACTAATAATACCTATTGCAATATGTTTAAATAATATTATAATATATAATACATTGAATATTTTATCTGCACCGGACAGTTCTAAGAGTATAAATAATTATTTAGTTTGTGGTTACAAAAATACCTAATGATTGGTCATTAATATTTGAAAATGTTCATTATTAAGTTAATATTAATTTAGTATGGCGTAGTTTTTGGACAATTTTTTCCTCCACGAAGTTCTCATGGACTATATTTAAACCGCAATACACTGTCGATTAAAATATGCTGATCGTTTGTGAGAAAAATAAACGAAATAAAACGAAATACAATATATCGTTTATTATTGCGCTGTTCACCAAAATGYGACTTTCACAGTAGGTATAATAATATAACAKAAGATGTATATTTTATACACACCGAGTGCTTACCTAATACATAAAATAGAAACGGTGTGGTAGACGTATACAGAACGTTATACGATATCTTGCACTCCGGTGACGACGCCGGTGCACTTCGAATTTAATGGTTACGGGAGCAAAACGGCTTTATTATTCCGGCATGGGGAGAGGAGACCGCTAAAATTTCACCACCTACCAACCGACCCCGAAATCGGATTTCCGGAACCGTGGGCCTAGGGTAAAGTGTGTGGACAACGATCGTCCGCGGGCGCGTTTGGACGTGAAAAATCCACCCTCTCCCCGTGTTCACCTACCCAACAATACCGCACACTCGCGCAAGAAAAGTTTTTATTGTTTCGTTATTAACCTATACGGGGTAGTGAGCGAGATGGATGGAAAGAGAGGGTGAGTGAGCAAAGGGGTGGCCAACAGCCGGCGACGACGACAACGACGACGACGGTCGTGGCAAATAAAGCGTGCGGGGAACGATGACGATCTCTCGCCAGATGGACTCAGACCGTAACTCTCTCACGACGCTATATTATATACCGTATGCGGCGATGACGGTGATGTGTACCAATATAATATATTGTTATATACGACTTACTTATGTGAATTCCGAGCGTCAGTTGGCCGATAAAACAAACGGTGGATACGGCCAGCACGATGGACAAATCACRAACCCCTCCGCGTCTCATGGCTRTGCGCGCTGGTGATTCGAATATTTTATCCTCTATTTCCTCCTTTCGTCGTCTTGCTGTCCCAGCGTGTGTGTATACTGCAAAACCAAAACCACAGTGTTCGTATAATAATAAACATTATTTTATATATATATACATTTTATAAATTAYGGACTTCTGCAAATATTATTGAACGATACAATATTATATTATAGCCATCAGGTCCACACCGTCGATGGTTTTCTCTGATATTTTGGGATACAATAAAAATATCATAATATTATATTGCGTTTCTATTCATACGGTGAATATTTATKCAATATYAGAAAACGTAAACAATCGACTGTGACACATGTTATGATATTATTAAATAATATCATTAAACAAAAAATGCATACCATATAACCTGGGTGGACAAACGGTCGATCACTGTCGACTGGCCGATATTGGATGGTTTCTAGTCTATCCACTTTTGTTAGAACTTATCGTCATATCTTAAGAAGACACAGTTATGTACTTACAGACGTACACATAATTTCAGATTGAACTTTTTTTAAATATAAAATACAATTTTCTCACATGAAAGTTATAAGAGACAAATACTAAGCGTCGGTTTCTGATGATCTGATGTCTGTGAAATTTCTCTTGATTATAATCAACTGGCCAATGATATGCAGTGTTTCAACATATACGGTATGATGTTAATTTATTTTGATATCGTTTAGAAATTTAACGCGAAAATTAATTTATATGTAAATTCACAATTAAATATTTATATAAATAATAGTGCTATTATGTTAATTAATATAATAATTAATACTTTAAAATTAAAGTTACCTTAACTTAAAATCGAGTTTCTATTGAATTATATTTAGTTTACTGAACTAAATCACGCTGATTTTTTTTTCAAAAACTTTCTTATATTTCCTTAATTTATATATATACATATATATATTATATGTGAATGTATCTCACGCGCAAGGAACTACCGTGATATAAATGTTTTATCCTATTTTAATGTTCACGTAGCATTATAAAAAATATTTATGTATTCTATTGGTTAGGTATCTAATCAAACTCTATATTACATTCATAAGACGTTCGTTTAATTACACTCAAAGATAGGCATATTTCCGTGATATTTATTTWTTCGTTGATATCATATTTATATATACTTTCAGATATTCAGTATTATATTAGTTTTGCAGAATTCATTATAAACTTAATGATCAGCTGAGTACTGAGAGATTTATTTCTTATATGGTATTCGTAAATACGTAAAATAGGAGTCGTAAAATTCAAATATTCAAAACATTTATTAATTATGCAATTTTTAAATCTGTTTATGTATATTTGTTTGAACAACCCAATACAATAAGATTACGCCTTTTTTAATTTTTAATTATTGAAGAAATTTGAATTTAAAATTAATAAAATACTTCAATACCTGCCAATAAATATGAATAACTAGAGAGTTTATCTGGAATAACTAATAATGTGAATATAAAATAACATTTTTCAAGTGTTTTTTAAAGTTTACTAAAAATATAATGGTGTTCGTTTTATATTGATTTCGTTAAAAGAAGTCAGTTTGAAACAAGTATAAAACCACTGAATGGTTTACGAATTGAAGATGCCAGAGTGCCATTCAAGTTTGGTCAGATCGTCAGTAATTTCTCTWGGGACTTTTTGTTGGAAAAATTGGAAACGACCAAAGATTAACGTGAGATAACAATTGTTCGAACTGCAAAATGAACAATKATAGTAGGGAATTCGATCACGATAGAATTTCAAAAATTAATAAATATTTGTATAACACATTAACAGATAACATAGCATGTTAAGTATTAAGAGATAATATCGTTACGCGTATGTAATTCTATTTATCATTTATTTTATTATACAATAATCGTATAAGATATTTGTCTGAACAATAATATTTTCTCACTATCATATTTTATGTATTCTCAATGTATTGTAATAATACATTTTTAATCTGAAAAAAATCGTATTCATTCCWTAAATCTAAAATACTTGTATTTTTATTTCTATAGGTTTATTGAGTGTCTTGTTCAATCAAATATAGCCATTATATTCGCAACATAACAACATTATTTAAGTTTAAATATATATTTGTATAATATAACATATAATTTGAATCCACAGTATTGTAGTACTATTATCATACATATAGTGTGATAAACGATGAGTGTATATAATCAGTTATTGTGATATAGCCGTTTAAATGTTAAATTCATAAGAATACATACATAATATTCAATATAATCTATGTATAATCTTATAAGCGTAGAGGTTTATTTTAAGTCAATATAAAGTATTAAAAAGCCCATTCAATCATAAGTCGGAAATTGAAAAGAAATAAATCAATGTGCTACAGATTATATCTGATAGAAAACTGACGAATGTCGTGTATTTGTTATGACTTATGAAAAATATAACAAARCTATTTTGACAGGAAACTGTGATTATCCGTATCTATACTTTTACGTGACAACGTAGTGAGTTATATTTATATTTTATATTTTAACAGTATTATTATTATTGTGATTTAAATGTTAATGTATGTTTTATCATCTAACCACTGTAGTGTGTATGTTTTAATAATAATATAATTTTATATATTGTGATTTAGCATTTAGCATTTAGCATTTAGCATTTAGCATTTAGCAATGAGATTGATTCAATATGAAAAAAAAAATAAAGGCTTGCTATCATTATGACTTCCTGCCCTTACATTATAGTCAAATGTAAGGACATTGGTAGTCCCATTATACAATACCGACATCCTTTGCGGACACATCCTTTTAAAGGATCAGACGGCATTAAGGGTTGATCGGTAGACAGACGGTGGTAGTAARCGAAAGGGGATGATGGCATAAGGGTCAGTGCAGTATGGAAAAAAAGAAGCTTTTGTTAAACAACAGTAAACGTATTTTGACACATCTTTTATGCTCAACTATTGCAACCTTTTAAGATAAAAAGGAAAAAACTAAGTACTGAAAAAATATAACATGAYTGGAGGACGTCATTAATGTTATTTTAAAATAAAATTTTTTGCTTTGAAGTGATTTTTGTGCAGTAGACAATTCRTACGACGTAAMATTATGGATTAATGTACATATTTTTCAATTGAATTAGCTTTCACGGGACTCCAACGACTRCAATGCTTCAAATAGACGACATCATCTTTCATTAAAAAGTGTACTCATGAACTAAATACTTACATTATACACAGAAGAAAATGGTATATGGCCCGTGTATAAGCTATAACTAAAGTGGTGTTCATGTGACTAGAAAGGTTATGGTAGATTGATGGTGAAACACTTGCTAGTTTAAAATTCATAATTTTCAAGACTTTGTAATTTTAATTCATGCCAACATCAAATTTGGTAATCCGTTTGCTAATAATTAATGGAAAACCTGYTTAAAAGCTAATRCAGTGATAGGTCCAGGAATGCTAAAGTGCTAGATATTTCGGRTAATATTGATGTCATAAGATCCTCCTTAGTATCACGTAAAAATCTATAAATATAAACGTAGAAAACGAGTTGTTTAGACGTTTCTTCATATACATTCTACTAGAAGATATTTTATTAACTYGGTAAAATGTCGTGCACGCAGTATTGAAATGACGTGACCCTGCTTTTTCTATGGCTGGAGGTTGAGAAAAAAAACGTATATGTATAAATATAAAATATAAATATGTATAATACAAGAGAAAAAGAAATATTTATTTCCATAAGGACCYTTTTGGGTACCCTAGGTCTTCTTCACCCCTTCCCTTACACCATAAAACAAAAGTCATCTATCAAATGCATTCCTGCAGTACAAACGTCTTTTTTCCACTAGTGTTTTCAACAAGATCCAACGAAAAATATATTTATAGCTACACTGTTATTCGGCCAACAAAAACCTCAGTGCAACATTAAAAACAAGTTGTCCACTTTATGATTTAAAAATACAGTCATTGAAACCGTAACAAAACATATTGGGACACCCTTTAAATATTGCTGTCACTACAACAAACTAAAAGAGTGTAATTTATTAAATTGTACTATTCGCCGTAATTAAACGACAAAAACACTGTTTCGTCGAGAGAGGAAGTAAATCATAATTGTATAGGGCGTAGTAGAGTTCGCATTAAAACGTGGTAAATCTGAAAAAATTGGTCAGAAAAATAATAATTTTTAAATGAGCATATTGAAATATGAAAGCAACTCTATAATTTAAAAATTAAATTATTTATAAAATAATAATGTTCACTATTTTTTACCAACATAAAAAATATTTATTTTTTTAAGTCAAATGTTGGGTTAATATTTTTAAATTTTTGTATTTTACTTAACGGTTTTCTTTTTAATGAGGCAAAAGTATAGTTACTAGGTTATTCATTACAATTTGCTTACATCCCTTGAAGATAAAACTCAGCATATATGCGTGATATTGTTTTATTTTATTGTATTTATTTATATTTTATTTTGTGCCTAGGGAATACTGTATGCTATAATGCAYTTACTTTTGGTTCATGRACATTTCGTTGACACTATTTTTAAAGTTATTTATCAAAGATAAAGTAGAACATTTTTTTATAGTAATATATCGTATTAATATAAATATTTATATAATTAATCTAAATTTGTCTCAATAAAAAATAATTGCATTTTTTACCTAATTCATTATAGATATAAATATTATTAGTGAAATACTGAGTTAATAGCAYATTTTTAAATAATCTTGCCTGCAATAAATATAAGTAATATGTTTATGTATCATACATTGGTGATGATTGATGATTTGGAAATATTGATGACACAGATTATTTAATATTATGATGATTGTTATAATAAACGTATATTTACATCAAAATATTAAAATAGTGGTGATTTTAATCATGCGTAATACTAATGGTTTAGTTTTAATTGTATACATTTAATTATTTAGATTTTAGTTTAACAACTCAAATGCGTGTTATGTGCATCTAGGTATGCTCGGGGTGTATTGGCAAATTTTATATAACGAATAATAAGTCAAGAAAAATATTAACTTAAATTAATCAAACGATTGCCTTGGAAAATATTATGCCACAAGACRTTTTTTCTCAAATTTTATTATTTTTTTGTACATCATTTTTATGCTGGATCGACTGGAGGCACTGGTATTTAGCCATCTCAATATATAATATTGCTATTGTAAATTTATATTTGTCATAATAAACTTACAAATAAAAGATAATGATAATTTTCGCGCAGATGATCTACAAAACGGTGTGAAAAAAAATTAAATTAGTCATTTAGTTGCACCTTTGTAAGCATTCTACCTACTTTGATGTTTTAAAGCAAGAAACTTGAATGGATTTGACTTATATTCAATAAAGCAAAACAAAAGAACCCTTGAATTGTAATACGATTGAACCTTCGATCTTATAAAAATATAACCTATATAAGTAACATTGTTTACAACACGTGCTTTTAATGTAAATTTGTAATGCGATTAAAATTTTTACTTTGCGATACTCAACCGGAATTCTCAATAAATCGGAACTTTTATTACTCATAATTACTATGTTATTTATTTTAATGTATGACATTTGACTGTAGTTTCAAAGCTCAAATATTGTGCAACACAATATGAAATTACCAATTATAATAATTTCATTAAATATTTAATTAGAATAATTGTTTAGTCGCCTTTATATTCACTACACGTGCAACGTTTATTAAATTATAGCTATATTTTGAATTTAAAATATCTTTTATTTTTGTGCCTTTTCTATACCTTACATATTGTGTATTTAGTCTGAATTTATGTTTTTGTAGACATTTACTATATAATAATAATAATATTTGGTATATTTGATTTTGCTTGATTTCACAAATAAGCTAATATATTTTGTTATACAAAATACAATAGAAATATTTAAATACCTAATGGAAGAAATAGAATTTTTTTTTTAATAATAAATTGAATTCTGACATACTTTAAAAAAAGTAATATTGTATTAATTTTACTTCATTCTTAAATAATGTACTCGAGGAGTGTTTGTTTCTAAAAAATTATAATGTTGAAGTTATTTTCAATTCAAAATAAGTAAGCGCATTCGATAATAATTTATCACCTCATGAAGTCATGAATAACTCACCTGTATATATATTAATAGTATAATAATTATTTAAATAGAAACTATTTACAATATATATTGTATCATGGATTGAAATTTAATTTTTGAATCTATTAAAAAAAAAAAATAATAACATGAGTGATTTTTTGTAATTGGTATAATAAATTGTTATAATTTTGTAATTATATAAATTAATATAAATTAAATTACAATAGTGTAATCGTATTGAATTTTATTAATAAACTAATATGTATTTATTTAAAATAATTATATTGATCTATAAACGATAAGACTTTATTTTATTGGGTTGTTTCTTTCAATTTCGATGAAATAAMAATTTCTACAAATCGCAATGGCGTATATGACGTAAATTGTATTTATTTTAATWTTTTCATATAGTGAGATGAGTTAATTTGCGTTCTTCCATAATTTATGTCCACAATAGGAAACAAATCTTATTGTTATTAAAAATAAAGMGTTATTGCGTTTGAATATTTTTTAACATAGACTTATTGTWAGGTAAAATAAAAATTAATATCGTGTGTCAAACTTTCATAAAGTTTATTTTAATTTTTTTTTCAAATTAAACGCTTATTTGCTGATATTTCAATTTTTTAGCTCATATGTTTGATGATTAATTGAACTTTTAGTAGTAAAAATATTTATTTGRAATTTTAATCTTAAGACTTTGTTTCTGATATTTTATAATAATATTATATATTTTGAAAATCCTTACGACTCTGACCTGGAGTGTCACCAGTGGGTGGCTTCTCCTTCATATTTTTCTGGCTGTAATCTTAATTTGTTAATACTTAAGCTTATTATACATAACTTGTATAGATTGTTTAACTCAAAAAAAAAAAAAATAAAAATAAAAAAAATTATTTTGAAAAAATATTGATTTTTATAATTTAAATGTGACTTATTAAAATAAACTAATTATAGTGTTCGATGTAGAAACATGTGAATTCAAAAATACAAACGAGAACGGATGCTGTGTATCGAGCTTTTATGTACTTATCAGTATGCATATTTAGAACATTTAGGTCAAGTACTGACTATTTGTGTATGGGAGTGTGCGTATATGAAAGTGATCGTGTAATCATCTAAGTGAGCAATGAAAAATAATGGTTGACTCAAACTATACTGTAGCAGTGTAGTAGAAATACTATTATATTATTATTACGTCGAACCTCTGAGGGATGATTACTACCGAGGGTGCATGGTGTAGGTACACACTGCACGATGAAAATGGAAAAAGTCAAAATTAACTGGACACCGTTGCGAGCGAACTTTCGGTTTCCTGTTCAAAAGGCGTCGCAGAACATATACTAGTGAAATAAAATACATCGTATTGTTGATGAACTAATATTAAATTATGTGGAGATTTGGTGTTCTAATGTAGACCTAACCTAACTTACATAAGAAWGGCATTCAAGATTTTCTTAAATAAAAAAATGTGCATACCTATTTGTTTTTTAAGTTATGATTTTACATCAAATTGAACTCAATTAATTTATTACATTCGAAACAGATATTAGTTACGATCACTGCAGAATCACACATTTATTGCATGAATATGGCATATTATTTTATTTGGATTATCCCTTAGAAAATCGTGATAATTATAATTTAATATAAATATATAAATATAAAGAGTCAACCCTAAATATATATACATAATACACATATTATATCATATAATATTGGCTTTGGACCTGAAAACAATATTATCAGTTGAAGACCGGTCTGAACTATGTACATATCTGATATCGCCTGATCAAACACTGAGACCTAATGATACTACTATATTGTGAACATAATTATCCCACTCGATGATGAAGAGTCTATGTACACATTGGCYTACGGCGTACAATATCATGTTCAAATATATTATAGATATGCAGTTGGTATAAGACAGATGTSTATGTTAAAATGGAAAACCCTAAGGAAAATAATCTACGGAAAATTATTCACACGGCGATAAAAGCTCATTATTATAAAAAAAAATGAATTGCTTAAGAAATTAAGATTCTATTGTTAAATGTAAATTAAATATATCCATTATAGTAATCAAACTACTCGATGACAATGAACACGTCAAAACACAAGATAAAAGTATAWCCATGTAAGAARGTACTTAACAAAATAAATGAAGTAAACTTTAATTTTCTCTAACCATTCAAAATATCAAAATTTGTATCACTAATTAAGAAATATAATTTATTAAAAGGCATATCGTTCATCCATTCAAACGTATTTAAACATTTTTTTTTTTTTAATATGCCTTCACATTAGGCAGTGTCCACTTGGTAGTTAGTTCAGTCCAACAGAACTTAAGAAGTTCAAAAATTTTGAATGTTATGGTATAATCACAAACATATTTAACTGTAAAATATGAAAAAATAACACTACTTATAATATTATAATATTATATAGCACTCGCGTGGACTTGTATTTCATTGGGTGTTTTTTTTCCGTGGACATTGTATTGGGGTGTTTTTTTTTTCGGTAAATATAAAATATAATATATAAATTATTTGGTTTTTAAATAAATTATAATTGAGTATTTCTATTGGTTACAAAATGTTTAGTATTAAATTATTTATTATTTTAGCACCAATTAGTACAATGTACTAAATTGTTTTGATATTTCAATCTATTCTAAAATATATTTTTCATTGTGCCAAATTGGCGTTACTATTATAGTATTATCTAATTATGAGATAGGTGCCGCGTTTAAATTATATTAATTATTAAAACAAGAATGTAATTGGCATATAGTTGTATRMAATTTATATCCTAATTCGTTTAGTGTTTTTTTTTTTACTTTTTGTATACAACCTATACAAAATTACCAATACAATATAATATACTTAAAAGTGGTTCCGAACCACTATAATGAAATTATAATACTAAATTTATGGTTTGTTAACAAGTCTAAAAATTTAAAAACTACTTCCTACTTTGTTAAATGTAAARTAAATATATTTTTAAAAATGTTATCCTTATAAATACTAAAACTGACTAATACTTTCTAATTTTAATATAATTTAGTTTGTTTATGTTCCTTATTTCTGAAGAAAAATAATTTTTATTCTCAAAAATATTGTCTTAGAAATCCTCAGCTCTCAATAAYCAGTTGATAATACAAATTGATGTTACAGTGTATGCAATTTTATATAGATAATGGGATACAATTAAAATTAGATTAATTTTAATTTTTTAATTTTAAAATATAATTGAATATTCGGTTGTTGTACACTAAAACTGTTGATCATTTCATATAAATTTCCAACTTTCTACCATTATTATTTTTATATTTAATTTAAAACTAAATCATATTAATTACGTACGTTTAATATGACGTATTTACGATTTATCGATAACTTCAATATTTCACTCGTTTTGACATTGTATTCTTGGTGACATACCTGAAACACGATACAAAAAAAATTAAATATTTGTATTAATATACATTTCTATTAAACTTAATTTTATTCATGCTTATCAACAAATAATCATCGAATATTTAATCATTAATAATCATTTTCTGATTTTCTCAGTTAATGTTTTATATTATTATAAAATATTCACATCTTAATTTATTGCTGGGTATGACTTTTTCAACTATTCACTGTATGTCTGTTTATTATTAAATAAACGTTTCAAGTAGAACGGACATAACGATAATACATTCAATGATCCCTGAAGTAATTTTAGTCTTATCTTTAACAGAATAATAATTGAATTTCATTATATATTTACATACACACATAGGTAGGTACGTATTTTTATTAGAATACAAACTGGAATTAAATCAATTGGCTTAAAGCAATTAACTCACGACGAGTAAGCAATGTTTGTATTTTTTCCTCGCCATATCTCCTATAGCCATGCGGTGGTGACATGTCAAAATAGGTCTCAACGATATAATTCGTTTTTCGTTCACGAGTCGCCCTCATTGCCACTCGAGTCAAAAACCGCAGCAATTAACTCGCTTGAAATTTTGATTGTGGTTATTCTTGTCGGCGGCAATAATATAAGCTCTCTCCGTTCCGGGGTCGATCGTAGACGTATATAGTAGTGAAGGACTTTCCGTGGGTGGAGGGTGAATGAGGGGTTGGTGCGTGAGGACGTAGGTTCACACAGGAGAGACGAGGTGTATATATTATATACTACGCTGCAGTGGTGCGGGAATAAGGGAAACCAATGGACCGTAATAACGAATTCCAGTCATCGTTCTCGCACGGGGTCAGTATTGTGAAAAAAATAAAAATAAAAATTGATAAAACGGCACGCGAATCATACACACACATTTTATATATTATATATATATATGATGAATGAGAGGAAAAAAATCATCGTACCGGAACCCATTAGGCGATTTCGCCAACACAGTCGTTTAATAGAAACCGATTGAAAATACATTGGCTTCGGCAATTTATGACGAACCCGTTCAGCGTCGGCGGGTTCTACAACAATAATATAATATTGCATATTGATTATAGTATGTATTTGATATTATGTGCTCGAATTAACTATATTGGACATCGCGTTGTGAGGTCAATATTATGTAAAACAGTGGAGGACGTTGAATCCGTGACACATGCATAATTTTCCAAACTGGATTTGATGATATCCAATATTTTATTGATTTAATCATTTTTACTATGTAATAATTTTTTGTTTCTAAAATTKAATTATATTATTGTATTGTTATTTTGTTTGTCAATAAGATAATTATATTCAGCTATTTTGATCAACGTTAGAAGAGAAGAGCTGCAACATGTATCTTTATTGTTATAAATRTTAATTTTATTTAGTGGTGCGCTTTAAAATATTTATTTCAATAATTATATTATTTGACAAGCAACTATACGGAAAGGTTAATTGTCTGTGATTTAGCACTCGTATCCCTTAAAATCGAGCAGATGTATTTTAGAATTAAAAACAAATAACTTGTCAATATCAACGTTACAATTATGGAAATTCACAATCATTTATTTAAATTAAAAAAAAAAAAAAATCATCGTGGCTAAAATTAATTTTATTCGTATTCAGAAAATCAGACAACTGCAGTTTTAATAACAACAATATAAAGTGCACCACACCTGTGTTAATATGTATATATATTACTTTGGGTCGTAACCTAATATTGACACACGGGATTAGCTGGTGATATGTATCACTTTTTATTCGACTGTTTTAGGTACGATTCCGAGATAARGGTGGTCGATATTCATATTATATAGTCAAATACCATTTGATCGACGTGCCACGGTGTGTTTACCATTGTCGCGGGAAAAAATCAACCACGTCGCGATACGCGTACAATGTACTKCAACGTAGTTCTGTGATATTCTTGTTATCCACTCCCTCCGACACCAACAATAGGATTGAAACAAACACTTGGCCAGTAAGTTGTACACGAATGTAGTTGTGTTATATATATATATATATATATACAGCATTACAAGCATATTATATTGTGCGTGTGAGCAATGAACGTATAAGTAGATCGGTTGACAATGTCCGTACAAAATACGAATCGGTACATTACACGGTCACAGCTATATTATAACATCGTTATTGTTGTATTATACACCCTCAAACGTCGTATTGGTATATCTGTGATGGAAAACACTAAAATTCATATTATACGTCCCACGTGCAGAGGTTTTATTTTTTTTGTAATTACAAACGCATAATAGATACATAATATATGGTACTATAATAATACGTATACCTATACTAAAATTGGCGAATATCATATTTTTTAATCTATGAAATTTGATATGAAATAAAAAAAAACTATAGACATTTTYCCAATCTATTATATTTTGTGTTTAAACGTAACTAGTGTAATAATAATAATATGTATGTATGCAGGATGCATAAAACATTTTATTCGACGAGATACTTAAAAAAAACTCGTGTTTTTAGCTTTTTYGGATTTGCAATAATTGTTAACATTGTCTTTTAACTCTTATTTCTAATTATAAATATTTTAATTTGACGTTAATAGAATCAATATTTTTATCTATTTAAAATTTAAATTTAAGTATAACTACTTGTTTTAAAATATACACACCTCTTCTTAACAATTTTCCACATGCAATTGTTTTAATGCTCGTGGTCAAGTACCTACTGTAGTTGTGTAAGAAATAAAAGTTGATTCGTTTCAGATACCATATTTGGCAAGTGTACAAATTGAATTACATTAGAAAAATGTAATATCATATTTCTACGAGAAACTGAATTAATCTAATTTAGCCATAAATAAAACTGTATAAAATTATCGATTAAAAATGATAAGATTTCATTTCTATAAATATATTTTTTTGAATCGACTAAAAAATTTTCACAGATTGTAGATGCAATTATTATCTGATAGTAAACGTCTATAACGTCTACGTACTGATAGTAATTCTATCAAGGTTTTCTAAATCATGGAATAAATATGCTATTTTCAATTGCATAGAACTGAAATCTATTTACACTCACAAAATAACCAGAGTTTTGCGAGCGTGCTGAATATGTCCGTGTAAGCATTTTTTTTATACAACAATACCTTCAAGATACATCGTCACGTATTTCATTGCATGTGCTTCAGGTGAAGTAAAATTTTATCGAATTTTTCAATTGCTATTATACTCATTTGTTTTTTAAGTGAAGAAGTTGCGAATCAATTGAGATATTTTGAATTTATTTTTAATTWGAGGTATCTAAATGCTATAGTTTATTGTATTAGTAAACAGAGGATATTTAAAATGGTTATTCTGTTGTAAAATAATAAAATTTCTGTTATTTATTAAGCATCGTTTTTATAAATTACACTGTAATATGGATATTTTGTAAACACACCATGTCTGTTTAAATAATATACTCTTTTACAATTTATACTTTCTACTTACGATAACCATAATATTAATGTTAGTAGAAAGCGCAAAAAATRAACACTGTATTAATTGTATAATTTTAGTATTAGAAATCACTCATTATATATTAAACAAAAAACTAATAATCTTTGTTGATGTTTTTAAGTTCAATAAAAAAAAAAAATGCTCTTTTAAGACTGTAGAAATTTTTAAATGTTAACATTTAATTTATAATTATAAAAAAAAGTTTGTGGTTAATTATGAAACTTTACTTAAAATATCTTAAATACATATTATATTATATATACTACCTATATAATAATGTGATTTATAATAACTGAATAAATATAATAACTATGAAATGATAAAATTCATCTAGACATTACAATAACTGCTTATTTGGTAAGATGCTAAAATTATTTTATGCAAAAAAATTGAGCAAAACCAATAATTTAAAAAGTTTGAATTAAAATAGGAATGGAATAAAAAGAAGTATTATAAAAACAAACATAAAAAAATTATTTTAAATTATTTTCAACTGYTTATTAAAAATATATATATTAATAATAAATGTATAAATAAAATATGATAGTATCACCAACTGCAATAATAAGAATATGAAACTTTAACTGGAAAGTAAATTATACTCGCCAGTGCGMGGCGTCGGAATTCTTAAGTGTAGTGAAATTGCATAACCAGAACGCCGGCATATAACTAAAATCAAGAAAACAACTTAAAAATCGACTATTATATATTTTTACTTCTATAGATTTTAAYATTTAACATACCTATTGATATATTATATTTATTTAATTCTTAAACTTTATTTTGTTATGAATTTTCCACACCACCCTTAACAAATAACATTCACCGGAATTCGTCTGGTCCGTTGTTGCGTGTCGGTCTGTATCATGGTCCGCCTACTTACCCATACYCCCTCCCCCTCACACACACACGCACACACACCAGTGCTTCTTATCACACGTAAACATCGGTAGCTGGTTGCCGTTTTGACCGCCAACGGTATAATAATACCAACACAACCTTCCCTTACACCTGACAAGGTTTTTACCGTTTAAAATACACTAACCCCGGCAAACAAATTTCTACCGTTAATGGAGACCCTATAGAAACGGYGCGAATCGATAAAAACATAAGCCGTCGTGGTGTATGATATAATAATTTAATATTGATGTAGCAGCACGTGGACAAATGAGATGAAGTTCAGAACGGAATGCTATCATGGAATATGCATATACATACCTTACACATCATAATGCAGGCACGCCATTACGTCATCTACGTAAACGAGTTTAATCGGCTATAACAGCTAAGTCTCATTTTCCCGCAAAGACGGAGATGAATTATAAGTTTAACAATAATAATATTATCGCTTCTCGGTTCTCAGAAATATTTTCGAGTGAATTTTAACTCGATGTAGAAATGGTAAATATAAGTATACAATATTCGGTTACGGTACATGCACACGGAAATATAAGAGGGGTGGGCTGTCAGTGGAGAGAGCGTTAGAGTAGGGTTCCAATCGAATTATT